CTCTCTTGGAAACTCAAAATGTACATTAGCATACTTAAAGGTGTTAAGAAGTCCAATAGTTAAGAATCTGGTTTCCCTTTGTTTAACACCACATTTCCCACACTTATTTGAACCTTATTTTCAAGGCACTTGGAGCACTAATCTTACAGAGAACACCTTTTCGATTTGTTTGTTTGAGACAGAGTTTCACTCTTGTTGCCCAGGCTGGAGTGCACTGGCAGGATCTTGGCTCACTGCGACCTCTGCCTCCTCAGTTCAAGTGATTCTCCTGCCTCAGCCTCCCGAGTAGCTGGGTTTACAGGTGCCCACCACCATGCCCAGCTAATTCTTTGTATTTTTAGTAGAGATGGGTTTTGCCAAGTTGGCCAGGTTGGTCTCAAACTCCCGACCTCAGGTGATCCACCTGTCTCAGCCTCCCAACGTGCTGGGATTACAGGCATGAGTCACTGCGCCCGGCCAAGAACACACTTTCTACATTAGAACACACACTATATCAGAAAATGTTAACGACGTCATATGTCACCCCTTTTTTATAGCAAGTTTGCATTTTACAGAGACTTTAGAGAGAACGTTTTAACTCAGCATCACATTTTCACAAAGTATTCCTCTTTCTTTGTTATCCCTTTGTTTTTCTTTTCTTTTTCCTTTCTATCTTTTTCTTTCTCTCTGTCTCTCTCTTTCTTCTTTCTTTTTAACGGGAACCACACAGACTGTATCCTCTCCCTCTTACTCTCTGGGAAGAAGAGGAAAATAATCATCAATGGCAAATAGCAGTTACAGCAAAGCAACACCAACAGCTGGCTTCACATTTAGGAGAGAATGCTGTGCTTCTTCCTCATGTTTCCTGGTGCTCCACATGTTCAGAGAAACTTCCCCAGTAGTGAACTATAGAAATGAACCTTGAAAATATAGTCTTCACAATTTCTTATATGATTTTTATTGTACCTGGATCACTTTCCTTTAGCCTAAACTCCATCTTTTAGAATTTCCTTTAGTGAGGGTCTACTTGTTATCTGAAAATGTCACTATTTCAAACTAATCATCAGAAAATGGGCATATGTCAATGGGTATGGAATTCTAGGTTGGCAGTTATTTCCATTCAGCTCTTTGAAAACTATGATCCTACTGTCTTCGACTTCCATTGTAGCTCTTGAGAAGTCAACTATTATTTTAACTGTGACTCTTTATAAAATCTCTTTGCCTCTAATGTTCTGCAGTTTCACTGTGATTTGTCCTAGTGTAGATTTATTTTTATATATAATTTGTGTACCATACTTAGGTGTCACTGCATTCAAGAATCTGTAGATTAGTATTTTTTAGTCATTTCTGGAGAGGACAGAGCCATGTAAAAGGTATTCTTTATTTCCCTGATTCTTAGAAATCACCTGAGAATCTTGTATATCTAAAAGTGTGTGTTTGGGGGAGGGAAGGGGGGTGGTTACTAGTGACTAAAGAGAATCGGTCCTTTGATTCTCCCAGAAAGTTATGGAGTAGAGCTTCTCCAATAATAAGTAGAGCTTAATAATAAGTAGAGCTTCTAAATAAATAGCCTACCACAGAAGAGGATAGGCAGTTAATGCCACCCCTGAATTATTCAGTTCAGGATTTACATGTTAAAGCCAAAAGTACTCTCGTGGTAAGAATTGTCCTGCTGTAGATGTAAAGGAGTTTAGTACTTGTAAGGGGAGTGTTCTGACACTCACAAAATTCTTGATAGGCAGTTGCCAATTCCACTTATGTTGAGAGCGTATCAGGCAGCTGGATTTGAGTAGTAATTAGCTTTTAGATTCTCTCAGAAACTTTCATCGAGCTCTACTGCAATTCATCCAGTTTCTGAATTTCTTAAACGTTATTTGGTGGTACTAAGCTTTTTTAGGTTAAAGCAAAAGAAACCTGAAAAATAAGCTAACTTTTTGGGGATTGTAGCTGCTCTCACCTTCATGCCCTGCTTAGATATGGATCACCTTTCCTGGGCAGATAGCTCTAGGTGACAGAGTAATCAGTTATAGTGCTATCCAAACTCAGCTTTTAAGACTGTTTTCAGAGGCACTAATTGAATGCCTTCCAGAAAGTTATGGCCCTCTAGAGATCATCATTGAATATAGTAGTACCTAAAAGCCAAAGGAGTGAAAAAGTAACCCCTGAAAATCTAAATGTTAGAAAGAATTTCCAGTAAATAGCTGTAGGGTGGAATGGGACTTCGTGAGGGGAGAATAAAATAACATTATTAGAGTATGCCAGTCACATCTCCTTCGAAACGAATGGTTCCATGGTAAAAAGAAAAATCATATGAAGAAAACATTAACTATAAGCAAAGATTGCATTTTAATACTTTGTTAGGTAATCAGAATTGCCATTTATTCAACACACTTTGATATACTTTTTAAATACGTGTCAGGCACTGTTCACCCTCTGAAATTATTTGTAATAGGCCCCTGAAAGATATTTGCACTGAGGGTGAGGTATATTTCACTACTGCAGTGTCTCAATTTAACTAATAAAGAGAATAGATTAGAATAAATATTAGGAAATCATCAAATAAAAATCTAAAAATATTTCCTAGAATAGAAGGCTGTCAATCCATTGATTGAAAGGACCTATTAATTGTCTAGTACAACAACAAAAGAAAGCTAAAAAAAGCCCCACACCCAGGCAAATGATTATAAAATTTAGGACTCTGGAGACAAAGAGAAGTTTCCGAAGAGAAAAATAAATAGGTTACATGCACGTGCAAAGACTAAAGAATTAGAATAGCCTCTGACTTCTCAATAATAGCACTGGAAGCTAGAAGGCAATGCTCAGGATATTGAGACTAATGATTCCAATCTAAAATGCCATATGCAATCCAATTATCAATTGAGATATATTTTTACACACTAAAAGCTTTAAGTATTTTATCTCTCATATAGCCTTTCCTAGGAAGCTACTGGAGAACATACTCTACCTAAACTAGAAAAAAACAATAAAGTAGTATATAAAAAGCAATTGATTCAATGTGAGAAAGAAAGAGAAAGAGAGATAAAAAGGGAATTCCATTAATGATGACCAACTGAAGTTCCAGGATGTCTGTGTTAGTCCATTTTTGCATTGCTAAAAAGAAATACCTGAGACTGGGTAATTCATAAAGAAGTTTAATTGGCTCGTGGTTCTGCAGGCTGTATAGGAAGCATAGCAGCATCTGCTTCTTGGGAGTCCTCAGGAAGCTTTCAATCATGGCAGAAGGCGAAAGGGTAGCAGACGTTCCATGTGGCGGGAGCCAAAGCAAGAGAGGGAGAGTTGTTTGGAGGAGGTGCTACACACTTTTAAACAACCATGTCTCATGAGAACTCACTCACTATGACGAGAGCAGCACCAGTACATGAAAGATCTGCCCTCATGACCCAAACACCTCCCACCAGGTCTTCCCTTCAACATTGGGAATTACAATTCAACATGAGATTTGGGCAGGGACAAATATCCAAACTATATCAGCAGTTATTCAGCAGAGCTAAAGTGCAACAAGTTCAGGATAGACTACAAGATGAAAGGCTCCAGAAAAACATGTAATCTGCGATTACTAAACTGGTTTAAGAATGTTGGAGACCATGAAAAAACTTAGGCATAGATTTTTTTTTTGAATTGATAAAAAATAACAATTATTAAGTCAGAGGGAAAAAATGCTATATGTGAAAGAAAATATAACCAGGAGTGCTGCTATGGTCTGAATGTGTGTGTCTCCCCCAAAATTCATGTGTTGTGTGGTGCCCTTATGAATGGGATTAGTGCTCTAATAGGGGCTGAAGAGACCATAGCCCTGGTTTTCCATCCATGTGAGGACAGAGCTAGAAAATGTCATCTAGGAGCCAGAAAGCAGGCCTTCTCCATACACCCAATCTGCCATATCCTTGATATTGGGCTTCCCAGCCTTCAGAACAGTGAGAAATAAATTTCTTTTATTTATAAGCCATCAAATCTATAGTATTTTTTTATAGCAGCCCAAATGGACTAAGAAAATTGTTATGGTTTTTCTTTCAGTTACCATTTTAGCAAAAATAAGAACTCATTCATCCAGAGTTGGCAACGCCCTTTGACCATGAAGTTAATAGAGTGACCATAAAATTAATTGTCCAAACTTGGAAGCTTTTGAGAGTGAAAGTAGGTGCTATTACTAGTTAAGGTGGAACAACAGGCATAATTTAGATCTATTGTAGGCAAGCTGAGACATATGGCTATCCTAGCTGTTATTAAACTACCACTGTCCACCTGGTGGCAGTTTACCTTTCATTGAAGTCAAAGAATTCAGGAGAAAATAAACTTCTGATCTTGGAAGCTCCCTCCTAAAACATGATTTTTAAAATCACAATCTACTTCGGAAGTGGGAGTCGGATGCTTTATTTTTAGGTATTTGGGGATACATAGCTTACTATGTAAAAACAAGTAAAGAAAATAAATCTGATTTATGAAAAACAATTTGAAAATTACATTCTAGGAATACACTTTTTAAAAATGTATAATCTTTATTTGATAAATTACTGATGTTAGCAAACATGGGTTCTAAGAGGGTTTCCCAATAAGACTTGAAATGTGTAAATACTGTTAAGGCTCATCTTAGAGCTCTAACAATTTGATTTCATTAACCAATGTGTAATTATCTTCCTGCATTTTTGTCAGTCCTTTTCCAGTCTTTAGTTAGGCTTATTCATTAATTACATTAATTATATAGAGGACCTCCTCCAGCCCCAATATATTCTCAAACTCCCTATCATGTATGCGAAAGATTTCTGGGAACTAATTTTGGTTCCTGAGTTCTAATTCTAGTTGGGTCTGAGATCACCACAGGCAGTGTCACTATTTTGAGCAATTGTACAATTTATTTACATTATCCCCAAAAGGCCTATGCCCACCTAGGTACACAGGAGTGCTAATCAATGTAGTGAGTGGGTAAAACCCCTGTTTTTGTCTTTTGTAAGTTTGAATTGTTTTCTGTCCCCTAAAAAGAAACTCTTAAATAAAAATGATGAATTCTTACATGTCGGGGTAGTGCCGTGATCATGAAGGTGGTTCTCCCAGCACCAAGGCTCATCTATTGCACTCCAGATGTGCTGACCCCCTGAGATTTCACCAAATGTGGGAAACTTGATTGCATAATTTATGGTGGTGGTGAACTGTGTTCGCTTTCTCCAGTTCAACAAAACAAAACAAATGGCCTTTTATTTCCTAGTGACTGAAATCTGTTAACGTTTGATTAATGTCCATTTCAAAAATGGCCATATTCAACCTCAACTCAACATTATAAAACTGGGATTATACGGACAAAGCCTAAATCATATAAAGAGAAAATCAGTTAGAGATGTCTATCCATTTGGGTACTTGAACATGTCAAAAGCAGCTTGAAATTTTGGCTAACTTTTGTAAACCTTTCAGACTTACACACCAATTAGCATCCAAGGAGACATAAAAGTGTGAAGGTTTACAAGGTGCTCTTTCCAAAAAGAAAAGCCCTTTCAAGGACACTTGAAGGGAATTCCTTCCCTGAACAATGGCCATTCTGCCTTGGCAAGGGAATTTGTCAGGTGCCTGAGTTGTAGTAAAGGCATAGGATCAAGAGGTTCTTCTAAAGGCTCTGCAGACCAGCCCCCTGAAGCAATCAATCAGCAATCAACCAGCTGGCCTTCCTAGGGCTCCTATCCTGTTTCAGGATCTAATAGTTTAAAAATGAGTGGGAATTTGGAAGTTAGAAATTTAATAGTTTTTATAATAACTCAAAGATCAGCCTTGGCAAGGTTACTCAGAACTAGCCCATCCATTTTCTCACTGGCACATTTCATAAAAACAAATAAATAAATATAAATGGTACATCCCCATTAAAGGTAACTTTGTTTCAAGACCCTTTTCCAGAACACACATCATTCAGTGATTAGTCACTCAGTAGTGTTACCAATTTTTTAAAAATTGGAGGCAAGATTCGATTATGATCCTAAATCTCGAATGATTACAGTGACTTATAACACTGCTACATAATTTTTTTTAATTAATTTTTTGAAACAGTAAAAACTTGAGTATGTGTTACAATTAATATGGTATCTCTCTGGTGTTTTTAAATAACAAATCTGGATAGGTTAATCAAAGCTGAACTTTGCTGGATCTCTAAACATGAGTTTATTTTGATTTTTAGGTAGCTCAGCATTGGATTTTAGATAAGATTTCCAGAATCAATCAGAAACATCCTGCTGGGTCATTCTTCCAAATTAGGTTTACTAAAGTGCACACCATGGTCAGATTTCAGAAAACTGACTCAACAATCACAAAACTCCTGAAATCTTTTGGGAGCCTCTGCAAATTTTTTGTCTATAATAGGGGCTTAATAATCATTTCGTGTATTTCTTTTTTACTCTTGAAAATGTAGTATTTGTTGGTCAGAGGTTGGATGCCAAGAAATTATGTTCAGCCAAAGTGGCCAATGGAATAGAGGTTTAGAATTTAAAAGTTTTTCTACTTTGCATACATGTTTTTAATCTGCTAACCAAACCTTAATTTTGGTGCACATATTTATCTCTCAGAGGTGAACACTAATCTTATAGTGCCTTTTAACAGTGTTAGTTTAGTCTATATGCACATTCAAAACTACCAGCCCCTTGAGGAATTTTGTTACTAAAATGCCAAGGGTTCTGTCTAGGTCCTGCTGCTTGCTGCAAAGAAAACCAATCACTGAGACAATGAGTATTGCCAAGGAAGAAGCCCTTAATTGGGTGGGGCAGCTGAGGTGATGGGAGATCAGTCTCAAATCCGTTTCCCTGACTAAAATCACGAATTTATATAGCAGCGAAGAAATGTAACTACATGCAGGAAAGCAGGAAGTAGGAAGGGGTGAGGAAGAGGAGTTGGTCAACAGGAAACTGGTGGTCAGCTGGCAATTATGATGGATTAGGGGTCTGGCATCTCATTGTCCAGATGTGGTGATTTGGTGAATTTTGGTTCCTTGATACTATCTGGGAGGCCTGATGGTTGGTTTCCTGAGAAAGGAACTCAGATAAGACAAATGTAACTTTCTCAAGTTCTAAGAATGTGAGGATAATTTCTGTGTTTATTCAAAAGAAACCATAAACATCAGTTCTATGGGACAATTGGGCCAGTTTCAATTTTAGTCCAAATTCAAGTTAGTCAAGGTAAAACAAATAATTTGGCAAATAAATAGCTGCTTTGAGAATCAATCATTTGGTTGATTGTTTTTTCTTTTTGCCTTGCCACCTACCTACACAGATACTTTTAGATGGTGTGGCGTAAATGCAGCTTTTGGGGGGACAAGAGGCATAGGTAAAACAGTGTTAATACAAGCCTGCGAAAATCTTAAAGTTCAGAAAAAGAATTATGATGAGGCAGTACTCAATTTGTCATTAATAAAGAGGGAAAATTAGCATTCATTAACAATTAGTTTCCAGGTACCTTGCTATGCTTTATTAATTTTTGAAAAATTCCCTCTTTACATTAATCCTATTAAGTTGATATTGTTATGACAATATTACAGATGTAGAAACTGAGGCTTAGAGATCCTAAATAACTTGACTATGGCTAGTAAGGGGTGAATCCAAGACTGAAGTCCAGATAGTCAGACTCTAGAAACTCCTCCCTTTTTTAGGCAGCATCCATAATGGTTAAGAGCTGTAGCTCTAGAGCCAGACTGCCTGGGTTAGAATCCCCTAATTTTAACTGTTTCATTTACTAGTTGTGTGATCATAAGGGTGTTAATTCTCTGTGCCTCGATTTCCATACCTGTAAAATGAAATAATAATAATGCTTACCACATAGGGTTAAGAAGAATTAATGAATTAAATAAGTAAATATATAAAGTGTTTAAAACAATCCTTGACACAAAGAAAGTACTGAATAAATGGTAGCTATTGTTAGTATTTTTACTATGTCATACAGTTGATTGTCATCAATAATGAGAGGCTGTTTGTATTTTAAACAGAGTAACTCATTAAAAAAAATACTGCCTACAAGGGTTTACAAATGAATGGCACCAAAAAAGTAAAACTAAAATCTTGCCAATTTCATATAACACTACTTTCCCCTGAGCATTTTTAAATATTGGAATTTATTGGAATATCTAGCATATTATTTCCCTACCTTTTATAAGCCATGCCCCTTTGACAGATATTTAAACATTTTAAATTACCTTTAATGTTATTTGTAATTTCAAGATAAATTAAACATAAAGACTGAAAACAAATGAATATTGAAAAAAGTGGCTTTATTTTCAAACTGCAAACACTTTCCACGTATTCTTCCAACATTTCAGAAACACCAATTTGGCAAACAGGACAATGTGTGCTGAATGAACTTAGGTAAGTTATATAGTCTCTGTCACCTGCTATAAAACAGGGATAAAGACACAGGTTTTACCTCCTCACCAGATGTGCTGGGAATCAAATGAAACAGTAGATCTCAAGACCCTTTCTGTTCCAGAAAGCCTGATCCAAAAAAGAGATGATTATTGTGGCTGGCAGCAAACTTGTCATCTTGTTGTTAGCAGCTCATTCATCTTTTGATAAAATAATCTGGATGTATTTCATTGTTCTCAAAGTCAAAGAAATACAAACCTTTTCTAGTCATTGCTAGTAAGTAATATTTCAATTTTAGAAAGGACAACTCTATGAAGAAAAACAACCATCGATCATTAATGAATACTAATGTTAATTTTCTGAATGCTTTCTGATCCAGGTCCACTCAAGCAATTTATAATTTCATGATATGACTGTTTTTAAGCATATCCAGTGCAGATATAGTCCTTAACATTCATGATATTATGAGAAAAATATACTGTGAAGTGCTGCATTTAATCTAAAGTGATATACACATCTTAGTGCACTTTTATGGTAATAACTAGAATGAATTAGAGACTCATTCAGAATGAATATATTCCTGGTCACTCATTGCAAAAAGATTGTTTAATATACCACGTTCGTTACTTGTGCAATCTTCTCTTATTGCGATATTTGCATGCAAATGACTTAGTTTTTCCTTCAATTTAAATGAATTCTCTAATACAAATAAAGATCCAAATGTAAAACCATAAAATAAAGTTGTGGGCTGCTTTTATTAAAAGTGGTCCTAAAAAATTAGGAGAAAGCCATTGGCAGTTTAATCTCATTTTTGTATTCTCATTGAAATTTTACCAAGTTTTAGGCAAAACAGGCATTTTTTGGTCTCATCTAGACTTGTTTTTTCTCAATAGTGGTAATTGCTAGAAATAGAAATCATAAGGTCAGACTTAATTTTAGGGGAATTTTTATCATCTCAAGATAGTTCATACAGTCCATACCATGGATATAAAGAAAAAGGAAATTTAGCTAAGAAAAATGATATGTAGGCTGGGCGCAGTGGCTCACGCCTGTAATCCCAGCACTTTGGGAGGCCGAGGCGGGCAGATAATCTGAGGTCAGGAGTTCGAGACCAGCCTGACCAACATGGAGAAAACCCGTCTCTACTAAAAATACAGAATTAGTTGGGCGTGGTGGCGCATGCCTGTAATCCCAGTTACTCAGGAAGGCTGAGGCAGGAGAATCGCTTGAACCTGGGAAGAGGAGGTTGCGGTGAGCCGAGATTGTGCCATTGCACTCCAGCCTGGGCAACAAGAGCGAAACTCCGTCTCAAAAAAAAAAAAAAAAAGAAAAGAAAAATTATTTGCTGAAAAGTGTACTTGAAGACTTTGTAGACTGTGAAGTCATTTTATACCCATTATCTGATTTATGGCACATGATTTTTAAAAAATTAGCCACCCTCCAAAGCACATTCATTCCTGTGCAATTCAAAATGTCAAAATACATGCACATGTAGAAAATCTTATTTACAAAAATGGAAAACTTCCCTGAATATTTGTTGGAGTCTTCTGTTTTTTTAAAAAAAGATAAGCTTGGGATTACTTATATTCTAGTCAATGCATATGCTGGTCATCTCAGTCCTCATTTCAGTATCTCATGACATAGACATATAATGTCCTCATGCCTGTTTTTCACTGTGTGACATGGAACATGCCGTTGTTGTTCTCCTTTTCCCATCAAAGTGAATCATGTATGTGTTCCATTCTTTAGACATCTATTAGATGATTAACTGGCAGATCTGTAAATTGGTTTTTTGCGTATACTGTATTTCATCTATTTTAAGATACACATTGTTTTTCTACA